GATCATCATATGCCTGACATGACACCATAACAACACAAGTATAACCAGTTGTATGAAAAAAAAAAAGGTTATATGTGACCTATGAAAATATGTTATTTGATGAAAATGTAGTGGATATGTGACCTACATCACAGTGATCTGTGACCAATGATTTCAAAAAGGTAATATGTGACCTAAGACATTGATCTGTGTTCGCTGATTTCAAAAAAATAATTACATCCACTTACATCAACCTATTGCGGCATGTGAGGGTGTGGTTCATCTGGAGAATTATGGGCAGCTGACGGTACTTCATCAATTGGAGATTTTTCACGGGGGGGTGTATCTTAACGTCATGGTGGAGGATCAACGAAACCATCATCGTCATTTGACACATTAGGCTGTCCCATACTGCTATCCGTTAAGAGGATCACTGACTTTCCACTAGCACTAGCATTGCCGGCTGATTTCTTTGTCTTCTTTTTCCTACGACTCTCACTTAACAAGTTCGGTTGAATCGGCTTCTGGTACTGGACATTGTTCATATATGGCACGGCCATTTCCGTTTCCGATGGTTCCAGGTCACAAATCCCAATCTACAAAAGTGTATATTAGTAAAAGTGTAATCATAACAGTTCAGTCTACTGATAACAAGTCTTACTGATGTATTACATCAACATTTGCGAAGCAGTCAGCTCCTTCCAACTTAGCAGCAGAAGGTTGTTCATCTGCCATCCAATTCATGATTCGAGGATGTGTCTTCGATGTTCGTGTGATAATAATTCCATCTAGACTTGGAAAAGTCTCATAAATCCATACTTGAAAGGCTACCAACATACCTCGTAGCCTGTAATGTGGAGTTTTCCTACTCAACCCATCTTTCAGTAAACCCAAGGTAATGTCAAATAATAATTTGCCCCATGGGAATCTGTTCATTGCATCGAAGTCCTCAACTAGGACAAACAAGTAGTTGTCAACAACTTTTTTGTAATCTCTAGGAAAGAGATAAGCAGTGAGAAAATACAAAACACCAATACTAGCAACGTCATCATCCGGTAGAGCTTCGACAAGATCCAAGTCCGGCATTTGACACGCAGAGATGAATGTGGATTTGATGTCTTCATGTGTTACATTATCCACTTGAGAAAAGTATTTTCCCTTCAGTTTTGATGTTCTACTGTCATACATTTGTGTATCACACTATCCATGACTTCTCAGGCCTGTGACTAAACTAAATTCGAAGATGGAGAACCTCACATACCTTCCAGCCACATAAAATCACATTTCTTCGTGTTCGGCTAACGAACCTGTCTCAGAAGGAAGAAGTGAATCAGTTGTGGTTGTATCATGATCTCGTCACACTCTAGAAAATGAGCAAAACAAGTTCCCATCAATATACATTTCTGTTGTCGGCTTAAGCTTATCTGAATGGTATTCAAGACACCTTTACAGACTGAGGTTGTAATTTTCCCAGGAAACCACCTGTCTTCTGGTATTATGAATTCCCAGGCCTGTATGGAATTGCAGACAATGTTAAGCACTTGTACTGAAAGAAATCACACAGATATGATATGTTACAACACAAAGATATTCAATTAATAACATGCTCTGCCTAACAGGTCACATATGCATACACATGTCCACTTGGGTCAGTAAGTTGAATAGGGTCATAGATCTTGATTGTTAGAACAGTCAAGTCACATATTCAGTCAGCTCAGGTCACAGATCTAATCTTTGTTAGTAGTTCCAATGCACATACATTCGAGTCAGGTCACATTGTTAGTACCTTTCACCCCACCCAATGTATAAGACATCAAAATTAAAAGTACAAATTCAATCACATACACATGCCGCATTGTCACATCACAAATTAGTTTTCAATAAAATGAATAAGGTCACAGATTAGATCAATTCATCGTTAGCACCTCTGAGTCACATAAATTGAGCTTAGGTCACAGATCATCTACCATGGTCATTAAGTTGAATAGGGTCATAGATCTTTATTGTTAGAACAGTCAAGTCACATATTCGGTCAGCCCAGGTCACATATCTATTCTTTGTTAGTACTTCAAATGCAAATACATTTGAGTCAGGTCACAGGTCAGATTGTTAGTACCTTTGACTCCACCCAACATATAAGACATCAAAATTAAAAGCACAAATTCAATCTCATACACATGCCGCATTGTCACATCACAGATTAGTTTTCAATAAAATGAATAAGGTCACAGATTAGATCAATTCATCGTTAGCACCTCTGAGTCACATACAATGAGCTTAGGTCACATATCATCTATCATGGTCACATACACTGAGTTCGGGTCATGAAGCAATTTCGATACACATAATCTTTACACCCAAAACCCTAGGTCATGCCAAATACCAAAATTACTTCAACCGACTACATTTCACAGAATGCCCAAATATTTAGTATGTTTTTTCATTGTTCAATAAAAAAAATAAAAAAATGAGGAAATAACCTTGTTCGATCGGCCTTTTCGCTCGGTCACAGACACCGAATGCATTGGGGTTTTCATTGCGCTGTCCTGTGACCTCCTTTCGCTTCTTCTTCTTGTTGTGTCTTCGAGATTAATAACCCCTTCTGCGACTTTAGATTTCTCCATTAGATTGCGTTTTTCCAGTATAGCGAAAGGGATGTACTGCATACGGTGATTCTTGCACAAATTGAATTCGACAATGGTGAGATTGTAGGGTAACTAATTGGCGAAATCTGGACTCCGGATGGATGAGTTCGAACAAGCGAGTGTTTGAAAATGCCAAAAAATCGTGGGAGAACAAAGAGAGGGTTTGGAGATTACGTGAAATCGTGGGGGGCAGAAAGAGAGATAGGATGATTGATATGGTAGTTAAGAAAATTGTAATTTGAATTACGATAATTAAGGAAATGCGCCATCAGTTAATATACGCATCTAATAATTATTAAATGATAAAAATAAATATTTCACATCCAATAATTACATAAAAACCCTGACATGTGCATAAAAAATTTTCCCACCTAATGTTTGCATCTCAATCTTTATACACCTGGGACGATGTAATTTCCACTTATATAAGCATAGTAATAGACACCTCGACTGGATTTCTTAGGGCCTCGATAGCTCTTCGACTGACCTGTTTAGAACCTCAGCTTTGGGGCCCAACTCTAATAGGCCTCGCCCGGGTCCAATAAGATGGCCCAGTATGGGATGATAATTAATAGGCGTAACAATTTGTGTAGGTGAGTTTAATGAGAAAAGTATATTAAGCCAACTTCTTCTAAAAACTCTTTTAATCAAACAAATTACTTTCAAAAAATTATTCAAACATAAGAAAAAACTTATTAGTTTCGAAAATAGTTTTTTACTTTTTAAAAGTCCTATTAAAAAGACCCTAAATCTATTTTGATTTAATTTTTAGGTGAAACCCTTTTAAATTCTTCGATTTATTCATGTAGCGAGAAGTTATTGACTCACGATCAATAATTCTATAGTCTATGACTAAATTGCACGTACTTATTTTGAATAAATATTTTATGGTTTAAAATAAGTTTCTCCTCCTTTTTATCTTTAAGTTTTTGCCTGCAATATTTGAGAGGTACCAGATCACCAGTAGAATATCCATCGTTTCAGTTTGGCCCAGTTTGAATCTCTGTGTTAGAAATTTTACCAAATTTAAACTGTTCACCTAACATCTCACTAACCCAATTCCACCAAATTTTACCACAGAAAAACCAGAGAGAAAGATAAGCCGTTTCTGTTGAAATTTCACCAGCAAAATTTGAATCTGTATCCCTCTTAACTCAATCACAGTGGGACCACAGATTTTGGTTTTTATGCCAACCAAAATAAGAAGTCAAACGTGTTAGCACATCCAAAACGAGCTACACACCCATATATTGATTTTGACACCAATTGTTGGTATTAGAACAAAAAAATTGTCCCTCACGATTTTCAAACAATAAGCCATAATTATTTTGCACAGTCATAACAGAATATATACTGGTTCTAATATCAATTGCTAAATTTACAATTAATGATTCAACAATAATAAACACGAATGTTCTTTGGGTAGCATATGTAAACATCTAAAAGTATACATCTTACATGTTTGAATCAACTGGTATAATCACGTTAGATTTCTACATTCATGATCACAACTACCCAAAGAATCTTAAGCGACAAAGAAGACTATATGTTAATCGATGAAATCACCTTTGTCTCTTCACTCAATAGGCCTTGAGTAAGTGTAATGATATGTAGCCCTAATAGGGTTTCAACCCTAGTCTAGATGGCGTTAATATGACATTAAATTATAAGTGAAATTAAATGACTCATTTAATTCTATCTTTCGTTTAGTCTATCATCTAGCGTCACTTAAACAGGAGTTGCAACCCCGGTGACACCACACATTCTCCCAAAAATACTACTAAAAACTCTTTAAGCCCCGTTTGGTAATGCTTTTTAACCTCAAAAAATTGATTTTTTTACCGTTATTTTACTATTACAATCATCATTTTTTACTTCACTCACAGGTGATTCCCACTTTTCTCCCTAACGGTTAAAAAATTAATTCTTATAATCACTACCGAATAGGCCCTTAATTTCTTTTATAATGGGAGACAAACAGGCTCTGAATAACATTAAAGTACACATATTTGATACATGCTGTAAGCTTAGTGGGCTAACTGAAAATTAGGAGTAAAGTGAACACATGTTCTCTTCAACAAAGTAAGTCAAGTCTATCATGCCCATTATCAAACAAGCATTGTATGTAGATTACTCGGTAATATAATTGTTTTAAATATCTAACACGGTTTACCAATAGGTATAATATTAATGCATTTTTAAAACAAGTTAAAATCTAATTAAATTGCTATAAAATTCTCAATATAAGCTTCAATAGGAACTTTTTAAACATAAATGTTACATTACACCAATATTTAGACAAAAATAATACAAAGTTTAACTAACAAACAACAAAGTGAAAATAGCAAGTAGCCCCAACATCATCAATCCATTGCTTTAGTACACATCTAAAAGCAAATAACAATTAGCAACATGAGTGACTAGCAAACAACTGCCATCGAACATCAGTTGGAAGCAATATCTGCAATTCATTAGCAGACAGCAGCAACAATTCATTTGTAATGTGTGAAAGAAACAAGATTCATCTACGATTTTTCTACTATGAGCCAATTTGGGAAAAAATGACATTAAGTGAGCAAAAATCTGCTCATAATGCAACGTAAATTAAAGTCTAGGAGTTCAAAAATTTAGTCATAATAATGCAACAAGAATTTTAAGTCTAAGTGTGTCAAAATCAGCCGATAGTGCAACCTAAATTTTAAGTCGAGAATGCAAAAATTTGCTTGTAAATGTCTCATATATCTACTCAACTTGCTAAAATATCAGTCCAAGAATGCAAAAATCTAATAAAAAAATCTGATCATCAGGCTACAACTATCAAGAGTGTAAAAGAATTACTTATGCCATGGACAATAATTTGAAAATAAATCTAGCCTCTCATTGGTATTAACTAGTGCAAAATATTCAACTATCACATATGATTCACTCTCTGTATTATGATAACAATATGACAATATGTACACTGGGGCATAATTCAGTGGTGCAAAGGACAGGAATGAGGTAATCTTAGCCTTGCTGGCAACCACGGTGTGAGGGTTCGATTCCTGATATATGGAATTGAACTCTTTGTGGCACCAGTGTACGGACAAGATTTTGTTCCTTAGCCTGTTGGGGCACATTCTACGATTTATTACCCTCACCATGCTCTAGGGACGGGACGGTAGGGACCTTCAAAGTTGGGGTTTAACCTTTAACATTATGACAATATAATGATAACAGTATAACAAATGTATATGCAACCAATTCTTTTTATATATTAAGGCCTTAACTATTTTTGCCCGCAATGAACTATTAAAGGAATCAAGAAACTGACCAATGTTGGAGAATGCAAACTCAAAACTGATACTGAATATTTGAATGGATAATACATCTTTGAAAATTTGGAAGACAATATTGTACTCATGTGCACTCAAATTTCCACCAAAGTAGTGTATGGAATATTGTTGCAATGACAACTAATTAAAACTTTTCAAGATTGCCTTCCTAATACTTATCATGCTACTTCCATAAAACAATATGCCATGGGCCCTATCGAAGTTTGGGCTTTTTAGCTAATCACTCATTTAACATTTTGAAAACGGTTAGCGGGATTCATTTTTTCAATTATAAAAAATTGAAATAGCTTGATTCGATAAGCGATATTTTAAAATCAACTTAAAATCAAACATTTTCGAACAATTCAATTCGATTCAAAACTAAAATATTGAGGGTCCACAAGGACATGAACTAATAGTTTCAAACAAGAAGATTGATTTGGTTCTCAATTTGGCTATTTTTTTGTGCACCCTATCGTGTACCAAATTAATAATCTCTCTAAATACATGAAATGATATTTCAATTTAAAATCTTTTACAGCCAAAAGGATATATTAGATAATTACTGATTATGTATTTAAAAGTTCATAATACATATTAGGAATTTTTTGTTTGATAACTTCCGTTTACTCAATTCAACTCTTTCGCGCGCGCGCGCGCGCACACACACACACACATATATATTTCAAATAATGTAAAATGGTCCAATAAACTAGGTCTAACTCTAAATGTAAGAGTGAAGTCTTACCATGTTACGTTGGAAAAAATTGAGTTCTCACTTTTGACACAATTTTCGATGGGATCCGTTGGTCCAATGTGAAATATCAAAATTGATATGTGTTCTTCTCCGCGAGAATATCGATTTCATGTATTTATTTGTCAAAAATGAAGTTTGGGTGAATAAGAAATTGGAAGTTGGTTTTGTAAGAAAAAAATGCATTTATCCTACATAAGAAAACCAAGGAAACTTAAACAACTTTATATATGGTTATGCTTTGGAGATGTGTAATCATGTGTAGTATAGAGGTTCTCTCCACGTGCCCGCGCAGAGGGGTGCAAATCACGAACCGAAATGACCTTCGGACCTTGAACTTGGGTGCGGGCGCGACCTACGCACACGAATGTCGGACTGAATAAGGCAAAAATGGCCCCATCAGAGAGCCCACGTTTTGCCAATTTTTTTTTGGCTTTCTCCAATAACTTTGGAGTTTCTAAACTACAGAAACTCCCAATGTTTATTGCTAGAACTGAAAAGCTGAAACTCCAATGGTTAATGTCGTAACTCCAGTGACTCCAATGAACAGGACTCAGTCTATATAAGGGACGCTCACTCCAACAGTTCAACACACGAACGAAAATCTCTCTCTATAAACGAAAATATTCTTCCCAATTTTCCTCCCAGTTCTAGTTTCCATACAGTGTAGTCTCTATTCCCTTCCAGTCACGTACAGTTCGCCAAAGTAGGACCGCGGTGTTCGGATTCTGCTTATTACCGTTGTATCCTGGGAGACAGCCGCTCGAACTGAACCTCCAGCACCTACGGTGAGGGAACGAAACCGTCTTAAGGAAACTGTGCACGCACATGCCTCGGTTTGAAATCTGTTGCAGTTTGTGTTTTCTTTCTATAGATTTATTTCGTTGCAGTTCGTGTAGTTTCTTTGCAGATTCAGTTTCCATTTATTTTTGCAGATTATTTTCGCATTACTATTTAATTCATGCAGTTTGTAGTTTCATAGTGTGCAGCTTCCAGATTCATTGTTTACAATTTTAGCCTGCAGTTAACTTATATTTCTGGTTTTATGTTGCTAAACATTTTTATTAACCGTTGGAAAATTCTAAAATGGATTTTTTTTATAAATTAAAATCGTTTGCCTTGTGATTATTAATTTCAATAGTCGGCTATTGCATTTGAATAAAACTTATACATTTGGTTTTATCTACTTGTGACTTGTTTTCCGACATGTTATTCACTTGAGTTTGAGTCTCCTTAAGGGGATTAAGAGTGAAAAAAAACATGGTGTGAAACGAATTATTTTCCAAAATTTATTGTGGGTATTTGGAGAGGTTATTAGTTTATCGAATTATCAATATCAATTCAAGAGATCTAATTTCCTGAACTAATCTAATGTTCTTTTTTTATTTTATTTTTGATTTTTCTCGTTACGAACAATTTATGATCGTAACATCATTCAGTACCAAATTAATATAGTGTAAGCAAGTATTTTTGAACAAATCTTCATTCATATTTTAAACCAAATTCGATCCATATGATCTGATAGAGGGACTCCTACTGTAGGCCCGACCCATTTTAAATTTAATTTACCGGAATTGTGTTAATTGTTTCATAAACTTCAAAGTTCAAATATTTCACCCTCTTTTCGTACATATGTGGCATAGTTAAGAAATAACTGTTTTCATTTAGACGGATGTCGTCTTCGTTCTTGAAAATGAGTTGCGAGAATTGAGATGACTGTCGAGATTACGTGCTTGTCAAATCAATCTTAATTTAGTGTGACTTAAATGTATATTTGTACAATGAGCTAAGAAATCTTTTCTCTCACGATATTAAAGTACTGTTGAGTTTTGATTAATTTATAGTAACACTTTGTGAATTTATTTCTACCATACTAGCCAAACTTGAAACAAGTACAAAGTGTCGCATGTTGAGATATTGTCCTCCCTACCTAATATTGCTCCTTTGTTCGGTATCAGCTATTGCGAATGTAGTTGAGATGAATTTGAAATTAGACAAACACTATACAATTTGAATTTCAATCAAATGAAATAAATGATTAAAAATTTTTATTCAAGAATCATCGTTTTTCCGACATATTTTTAACTTATTCTATTGACATCAATAATATCACTCTAATGAATTTTCTTCGACATCCTTCGATACATTACTATTATGTTTTCTATAAGATTCGATAGAAACGAATGATTTATCTTTCTTTCTTCAAATTAAATATCTTAAGTAAAGCAATAAAGTCAACAAAAATGTTCTCAATAGAGAAATTAAAGAAAAAATGAATTTTATATTTGTATTGTATACATCTTCCAACGTACCAAACCTTTTCCTAATTTCATAAAATCTTTAAAATACATAAAAATATCTTAGGAAAAAGAAAATCAATTTCCTTCAACCTTGTAAAACTCTGTAATAACTATGAAATTAACGAAGCAAAGTCAAGAAGCACAAGGCAAAGAAAATGGTGACTCCAGTGGCGATACACATCATATCCAAGCTCCTCTCCCGCCTCTGATTTCTCTCTCTACACTGTATCTTCATCTTCAAGAACTTCTCATAACTTTCTCTCTCTATATCTCTGTTACTTTTTTTTCTTTCTCCATCCATGGCTTCATGTAAAATTCCCAAAATGTCACTCCCATTCAAGACTTTCCCTTCCATGTCCCCTACTTGAAGTGTCACCTCCCTTACCTGTAAATCTCCTCCCTCTTTCCCCCCGCAAGTAACTACCACGCCACACTGCACCAAATCCCCGCCGCCGGCGGGCATTACGATGGCGAAACGCAGCTGTATGTCCTCGGTAAGCCAGTGTCGCCGCGTTTCCACCGACGTCATGCTTGCCACGTTCGCTGCACGTTTCCTTTTTGGGTCTATTAAAATCCAGCTTACTCTCATGCGCTGCTCTAGAAGGGTACGGCAATCGCCCTCCTCGACGTCGAACTTCACCGGCACCGTCTCTTTTGGGTCCAGAAGGTCCAGCCTGAAGGGTGAACACAAGAACCATCCTGAAAGGGTTTCCGTTACCATAACTTTGGAGTATATCAACTTTTCATCATAGTAAATATCCACTGCTGATATTAGCTCTGATGTCTTCGGCAGCAGATGTGATTTTTTGGGGCGGCAGCGGTGGTGGAGAGCAGGGACAGATTGTGAGTAGAACGAGAGGTGGCCGGAAGGGAAATCGGAAATGGCGTCTCTGACACGGTGGTCGGTGGTGGAGGGCCAGGTGGAGTTGCAAATATCCCTCCAGAGATTATCTTCTGTGCAAAGAGAATGTAATTGTTTTGAAGCACAGGTGGTGGAAGCAATAGTTTGTCCATCAAGTCTATTCAAGATGTGGGATTGAATGATATCAGGATGGATGGCGGCGATACTGGTGTTTCCGCCGCCTTGATCGGTGGTTTGGACCGTGGTGTTGGTGGAACACGAAGACATGAATCTATTGTTAGATTTTTGGTTGTTTGGATTTATTCAGGACAAAAATGGGGTATTTGGAATTGGCTTTTTATAGGGGAATGGATTTGACCAAAGATAGAGTCAACTGTGGCATGTTACAATATTTGGTTTGTTTGAACCGAGTAAAGTAGACTCCACATTTGAACTTTGACTTTATTCCTATAATGTGATAAGAGAAAAAGGACCATTATATTCATTAATTCTCATTCATTTATAATTTGAAAAAGCACTTACACGGTAAAAAGTGATTATGCTGAAGGTGGCTTAGCTTATTTCCAGTTAGTACCCTCAATCTTCTTCATGAGTAGAAATAATCATTAGTTTATTTGCCATTGACTCCTTGTACATTGTTCAATATGTTAAAATGTATCACAACTCCATTAGACATAGGGCTGAGCAAATCTCTCGAACCGAACTGAACCGAACCTGACAGTTTTTATCAAATTAAATATCCGAACGGATATTTGAATTGAGAACCGACGGGTACGGTTCGATTTTCGATTCTAAACCAAGAATCGAATAAGAACCGAATTTTTCTATTTTTTTTATATTGAGTAAATCAAATTATTTTAATTTTAATTTTTTTAAACAAATTAACAATTTCTAAATCCAAATTTTTGGCCAATAATTTGTTTCATTTCTAATTTTTTAATTTTTGACCCAATTACCCATTTTATTGTTTTATTTCTTAGCCCAACAAAATTTAATCCACTAAATAACCATAAACACCTACACTAAAGTGCATAACGTTGTCTCGACTCTCGCGACCTCGCTAACATTCCAAAACTTATACAATCGTTGGCCGACGCTGTGACCTCCGATTGATCGAAACTTTGACCGTAGCGATCATTTGAATAAGATAATCTACTAGTCTCTGATATTCCAAAACCATTGAATGTATCATTAGTTGTATTTATATAATGTTGTTATAAATATTAAAAAAATTAATTATAGTATAGAATCGAACCGAACTAGATCCGTTCTATAATTATATTTGGACTCGACGATTCCATTTAATAGATACACAAAAATTTTGGTTCGATTTGATTCTTTTTAGAATCGAAAGAGAATCGAACCGAACCGATTTGTGCCCACCCTTAATTAGACAATTAATCAAGTATTTACTGTCATGTAGATTGATGATGATTGCTAGTGTTAAATGACATCATTCGCACTCCAAGGATATGTTTTGACACGTTGAATTAGTTAGGGCAATGTAGGCCTCAAACGCTCGTTGTCTTTTTGCATTAGTCATGTTCTTCAATCATGTCACAGCAAACATGACATAAATGCTATACACATGGCAATTATAGGGTTCATTGTCGCCTACATTAGTACTAAGTGCAGGTGCTACCACGCAACATTATTTGCAAAGAGCCCCTATTGTACCTTGGCAGTTGTAAATTTATTGTCACCTAAATTAATATTAAATACCAGTGATACTACATATTATTATTCCCTCAGAGCAAATAGTATGATTCAGCCTAGTTTCGAGTTGATGAATATTAAACTAAACCACTTTACAAATCAGTAATTTTGAAATCTTCTATTATCAAGGAATGTCCAATTAAACTTCAACTAGTTTGGTTTTATGCTAATGCGACAAAGAAGAATTTATACTTCTACACAAACAAAGAATTAACGTAACTTTTTTATTTATATTTGTTCATTGGTTGTCCATATCAAGTAAAGTATCGACTAGCACTTCAATAGTCCAGCCTTTTTTAAGCATGGGGATCATTTGTACCTGAAAATTAAGAACGGTTAACAACAAGAATCTAGCACCATATAATATGTCATCGAAGAAGAGCCATAGTTAGAGCGAAAAGCACCCTTCTGACCGAGGTTCGTAATCTAAACCACGAGCATTATTGGCAAATATCTTTGTCAATATGCAAGTAAAAAGAAATTAAGAACGTAAAAATGGAAAGTGAAAAAAATAAAAATAAAAAACTAATTAATCATGTCACAGTAACATAATTATTGACATAATGTCACATAATATTTCATCATTTGACAATTTTAAACACAATAAACATCCCCCCATCAAATCATCTAATGCCAACAAGGACTATATCACTGTATCTGTTACAATTTTATGTGAAAGTGGCAAAATCCAAAATTAAATTGATTTTAATGTATGTCAACATGAAAACGGCAAAGGTATGTACGATCATAATGAATAGAGTAGAGACGTGTCCTCGTCATTTACCAAACATGAAATTCCAACAGAACAAAGGCTGTACTGTGAAGTCGGCCAATTTTGAGTTCTTCTTTATGAATTTATCGAAGAATTGCCAGAGGATAATTAGGTTGGAAAATAAAAATATTTTCTTATCAAGTGGGTTTATAACAATGATGAAAAGGAAATATTAAAGTCTTGTTTGATAAAATACAATGAACAAATTTCCTCAACTCCATATTTAAGTGTAAATGGATCAATTTCACTAGTGGGGCACTTTCTCCAATGTGTGCAAACAAAGATGTCACTATCAATGATGTCCATCGGACTTTGTCTTAAAAGTAAGATCAAGTTTCTTTCAAAAACCGGCAAGTTTCTTATTTTCAAATAAGTGTAGCTTTCCTTTAGAGTCAGGTATAGGTCAATTAAGAGATGTGATCGAGCTCATTTCCCCTTCAACAAAATTACTCAATTTGATCGCTATCAGGTATCCTTATTGTGGCAGAGGTCCATTTTCATGCAGTTCAATCCAAATCAAATTAGCTTTAGATATTTAAGGGTTTTCTTGACTATTTAAGACATATGGAAGAATTTGTTATATGTCGGAGATGTTATCCCAAGTTGTAATTTTGTTTAATCTAGTCAAATTGTTGAATTTTAACAAATTCAAGTTAAAAAATATTAATAGGTTCTAACTTATATAAACTTTATGTCAATCAGAGAAGTAATAAAAAATTTAAATTATTCATTAATGTGTATCTATATGAAGACTGTACTATTTTAACATAAACCAAGAAGAAAAAATTTGTCGATCTCGTTATTTAGTGCTAAATGCAAAAGAAATGCCTTTCTTAGGGTAGGGTGAATATTGACTAGGAAAATATGTTACCCACTAGTGTTTGTATTGGTTTCATTTGAAATTCCAATTTTCAAGAGGTTGGTGCCATTTAAATGTCTTTTGGTCCCATTGGAACTTCAATAGGATTGCAAGTCAATTTTGGGCAGCAACATTGTGTCAATATTTCCCAATAAAAGTGGTCTCCTCTCTTCTATTTCTAAAGTTCGTGTTTAAAAGTGGAGTGTTTGTAACCCTAACATATTAGTATAACTGACAAATATTTTTTAAACAAATAAGCAGGTGAAAGATAATTTTTACTCAAATATTTCTTATAATTTATAACTTTTATATACTGTTTAACTGCACATTTCTTAGGATCCACTGTTTATATTAGATAAATGATTATCAAAAAGATGAGTTGAGTTAAGAGATCAATCTCACGTCATTAAACAATGTTTACGAAGTGCTTATAAATTGTTTAAATTATAAATAGATATAAATGATCTTGGTGAATAAATAGGCAGTACTTGTAAATCCCTCAAAATGCATATATAAAAAGTGACTTTAGTACTTATAATTGTTTTTTATAAACATAAGTCGAACATGGGCTAAGTTAGTGGTTAAAAAAATCTAGTCAGAATTAAGGAGCTAATATTAAACGTGTTAATAGAGACAGGGATAATCTTATCAGTTGATGCACATAGTAATTGTATTAATAATTAATGAATGGACATGTTAATAATTAATGGTTGGTCCAATTCATGTTGATTGGGGTGTAATTAGTAATAATCTTATGGATAACTCTCCGCCGTTGTCTTTGTGAACATCTTTAATGCAAAGAATTCATCAATTTTCTAAAAATATCCATCATTCATCCATATCCAAAAATAAATAAATAAATAAATAATTCTAGATGATGCACATAGTAATTGTATTAATAATTAATGAATGGACATGTTAATAATTAATGGTTGGTCCAATTCATGTTGATTGGGGTGTAATTAGTAATAATCTTATGGATAACTCTCCGCCGTTGTCTTTGTGAACATCTTTAATGCAAAGAATTCATCAATTTTCTAAAAATATCCATCATTCATCCATATCCAAAAATAAATAAATAAATAAATAATTCTAGATTTGAATACTTTCTCTCCTCCTCGAATTCCTCTATAATTCTTGATTTATGTTATCAGAGTCTTTTATGCCTTATTTATTTTAGACAGGACTAAATTTATGACAAGAACTTGAAACTTTAATTTCCAAATCTAATGGTGTGTTTGATAGGTAGGAAATTTCATGGAAAATGGAATTGTAATTCCATATTTTCATTTTTTTGGTGTTTGATTGTCAAAAATTTCCTTGAAATTCATTTTCCACATTTTGATGCCACATAGACGTTTTCCTTCTTTTTGAGGAAAATGAATTCCCATCAAAATGGTGAGAATTCATTTTTTCGGATTAATGTTGCAATTTTTGTTTTTTGTTTATTTTTATTTATTTATTTATTTTTAATTTTTTGACAATGGAAACAAATTTTAAGAATAATTGTAAAAAAATATTTTCCTTTAATTGATAATTTTCATGTAAAATAAAATCAAACGAACACCAAAAAATAGATGACTTTCTTGAATTTTTTTGGTTGGCAATGGAAACAAATTTCATCCCCAATATCATTAAAATCTATCCCTTTAATTGATAATATTCATGTAAAATAAAGTCAAACGAACACCAAAAAATACTTTTATGTTAACATTTTCTCCTTGAAAAATTATACCAATCAAACACAATAATTTACAATTCTCAGAAAAATAATTTTTAGGCAATTCAATTCCCTAAATTTGTTTTCAATTCAATTCCATTTTTACAATCAAACGGACCCTAATATTAATCCCAAGCAAGAGAAAGAAAAAAATGTTTCGTATACATATTATCAACTCAATAATATTTTAATTTTCGATT